TGAACACTAAGAAGTTGTGATATCTAAGAATCTGGCAGCACTGCCACAGATCATCATGTAACATGTATTCAATCTCTGTGCAAAAAAAAAAATGTCAAAACAAATAAAGATTCCATGTATTAAAAATCTATTTTAGTCATTCAATATGTGCATCAGAAACAAAGATTCATCATTTGTCAAAGACTCAAGAACGAACACAATTTTTTAAACTGATTTAAATATAGCCATCTGTCAATATTTAAACTGTATACACAATGCTATTTTACTTTAAAAATCACACATTTAAAAGATTTTCATTACCAAACTACCAAAAAATAATAACATTTAACAATAGTCAAAATGTAACACTTCACAGATAATCAATCAAACACACAAATTATGTCATTCAAAAACTAAACTTCAAAGGAATCAAATAGTTTAGCCATTTATACACGGTCCTACATTATAGACTTTTAAATCAACATTACTTTCATTTAAATCTAGACTTGGTCAAACTGATCAAATTCTAAACAAAATAATAGAATTCATCAGAGTATAAGTATATAGTCCTATATTAAAATCTGAAAAATATGTATTTCTCATTTAATAAGTGATCAAATATACTATCTCTTTATAGATAGTTCTACATTGAGTAATAATTACCATCACAGTTAGCAGGCCATCATCTAACATGTATTAAACTGTAGTGTACAATAATGGCATTAGATTTAAAGATTCATCATTTGCCAAAAGACTTTAAAACAGTGTTAGTACATGTGTAAAATGAAGAAGTGCAAAAATATAAGGGGGAACATGTATATTCAATTACAGGAATAGTATACTGCATTGTGGTTTTCCAAAAAAAAAAAAAAAAAAACTGAACAATCATAATCATTTTAGTATATGTCAAAACATTAATGATGGTCACCTAATAAAGCATTCAAGATATAGCAAATATGCATACTCCAACTACAAACAGATATCATAATTGCAACATTCAAAACAACATACCACATGAGGAAAATTGTTTTTTCTACACTAATAGGGAGCAAAAGGAAGCAGATAATGAACAACCAAGGTATAGTCTACACTATAAACACTTTAATTTTCAATTTACCTTTTTGTGGTTTTATTTCACTGCACACATCCTCCTTCATAAATGTATAGCTATTCCTACCACAAATCGGAAGTCTATTTACCATTATTGATGCATCCTAAGCTTCCCATCTTTCTCTTATACCAATAAATATGAACACTACACCCCTGAAAGTTAAGATTAGGGAATTTAGTTTAAACCCTAACTGCTAACTTTCGAATAAAATATTTGAATAGCCAAATCAAAATACGAATCTGTAGACTGTGCTAAGATACGAATTTAGGGAAATATTTGTTGGTATTTCACTTATATTAGCGAAGATTGCGCGAAATATGCCTTGAATGTCTATCTACGGTGATGAACACTGTACATAGGCATACACATATGCAAAATGTTTAAATAAAAAAGAGAATCGGATTCAAGAATATATAGTATACGATAGGACATAGTAATAGATTAAAATGGGTAGTAAACTTATCTGAGAGCCACTGGCTTGAAATAGGGTAATAATAATTATCTAGATCATCACTCAACCTTCGAGCCCTCAAATTTCCAGAGAAAACGGAGATCGACTAATCAAAACCCAAATCTAGATCTCAATTAGAAGATCGGCCACTAAAAATCAAGATAGACGAGTAAAAACGAAGATCTGCCACTAAAAACAACGATCTTCGAGTAACAAACGAAGATCGGGCACTCAAAATCGAGATCTTCGAGTAAAAACGAAATCGGCCACTACAAAGAAAGATCTTCGATTAACAAACGAAGATCGGGCACTCAAATCCACGATCTTCTACTGAAAATGAAAATCAGCTGTTATAAATTCAAACGAAGCTAGGGTTTTGAAAATCCAGCCTCATCGGATGTTAAAGGTCATGAAGACCTTACAGACATATTCTAATCTTGGCTAAATTTGTACAAAGCTCAAGAGTGTGTTGTGAGATTAGGAAGTCTGACTTCGGATATGGATAATGTTAGAGAGGAGATTATGATAGTGTTAGAGAGAATGCTAGCTGAGAGTTGGGTGGCCAGATGCTGGGGGTGAGGATGACATCCGTATAGTGAAGAGTTTGATCAGTGGGTCGGGTATGGGCTATGTTATATATTTGTAGGTTGGGCTTTGCATTAAAATAAAAAGATCTTGGGCTAGATTACATCAATGTTTAATTATACATGTTGGGGTTGTTGGCAGCCCATACTTAAACAATAATTAAGTAATTTTAAACATAGGTGCTGATGAATTCATATTAATTGTTTTAATTATTTGTGTATTTAAGGTACATTATTTTTGTAAGAAATGTACATTAGTTGCATTTACCATTTTTTATTTGATTTTTAATTATGTTACACGGTACTGTGTAGACCATGGTTAATGTATTCACGATTTAAAGTAATGCATTATTTCTTATAATACATAGCTTCTAATAGTCTTTAAATATGTTACCATTTTTACATTGCATTATTTCTTGCACTGTACTATGTGGCATTTTTTAGTACTGTGTTTGTCATGATCCACGCAAGATTGTGGACCGTGAATGTCAGAAACAGTTTTAATTAATACAAAATGTACATTATTCACAAAACGTTATTAACTATGTTAGCGTTTCGATATTGCATATATTATATTTAGGTTACACGGTATTGTGTGTACCATTGTAATTTTAATACAGATCTTAATTCATGTATGGTTTTTGACAATATTTTTTTTTTGTCATTGCATAAAATGTAGAGAACAACGATACCATTCGAGAAGAGAATACTAATGATCCACAAGTGGAATACACACCACAACCATATTGTAATTCAAATGATAGACCAAAAAGTGCTCTTACAACAGGTAAACTATTTAAAGTTTGTAAAATTTTATTTAACAGGTTATAACATATTACAAACATGTTATGTCTTTTCAGTTAATAAAGAATCTTTGGATATACAAATTAGTACGCGAAGCATGGAATATACAACCAGCAACAGTAAATCAACGCATTTTGTGTTAGGAGGACGAAAGCCATTACCTTCAAGTGCAACAAGCGATATACTTAACGGTTGGTTTTTAGTTAATGGCCAATTACTTAATTGTTTTTATTCCAGTTACATATTATAAACAATCTATCATTAAAAATGTTAAATATGTTATATAAAAGGTACCTTCACAATGTCTGAGAACAAACGACCACCTCTACAGGATATATCCAATGGTAAGTATTCTTTATATCATTTTTGTTGCTTAATAAATGTTTTTTTTTATGCCAGCTAAAAAAAGTAAACTATAAATTAATTAGGTAACACAAACTACAACAAAAGGAAATGCATGGATGAGGGTAAAACTGTTATCCAGTGTAATGTTGTCAACCGAGATTTGTTTCAAGATTTTGAAGAGTTTCCAATATGGATATAATTTCTAAAACCGTTCAAGACAATTATGGTACGTTTAATATTAAATAGTAGTAGTTTGCAAATGTTTCATGGTTTACTTCTTTGTTTCAGTCATATTTAGTTCTTACGCCCAAAAGTATTATTATTTTTGGGAAACTAATATGATATATTCTACGTAGGATTGTCACCAATTACACAACAACATATCCAAGAAAGTGCAAATGGTAAGTAATTATTTGTATACAAATTACAATGTCATTACAGTTTTTTGGATATGTTTCAAAATATTTATAGATAAGATGATTTATGTACATGGTAGGTACAAAACAATGCAACGAGACATCGTGCACAAACCAAGTTACAGTACTAATGCAGTCGACAATTGGAATTTCAAATTTTAACCAATCAGGTGACGAACAAGCAAATAAGTCTCAAATTACAGAACCAACTGCTTTCAATACTGGTATGTATAATATTATTCGGTCTTCTAATTCATATGTTACAGTTTAATTAATCGGTTTTGAATTCTCAACTTAGTGGAATACCAAGATCTTGGTGATGCAACTATAACATGTCAACACTGTGGAGCGCTTTTTTGGTACGAAGAAAGGACACACAAAACAGATAATCGCGGCCACCCAAAATATAACCTGTGTTGCAACAATGGTAAGATCCAATTGCCACAAACGATGGTGCCACCACAAGCTATATATGATCTTTTTTTTGGAGAAGGAGAAAAAAACAAGCAATTTCTACACAACATTAGAACATACAATAGTATGTTCTGCTTCACTTCGATGGGTGGTAAAATAGACCGAAACGTGAACAGCAACGGTGGTCCCCCAATCTTCTGTATAAATGGCCAGAACTTCCACTACATTGGTACTCTATTTCCGGTAGACGGTAAGAAACCACATTTCGCACAGCTGTATATCTATGATACGAACAATGAAATGGACAACCGTGTCAATTCTGCAACCCCAAGTGGCCTGAGGTACAATGCTTCTTGAATACAAGAAAATTAAGGCCAGAAGATCGCCCAGACATAATTTGTAGAATATTCAAATTGAAGTTGGATGCCCTACTATCATAATGTCGAAAGAACAAGTTATTTGGCCCAGTCATTGGAGGTACGTGAAAAATAAGCTACTATTTTAATGATGAAGTTTCTAACCCATAGCAATGTCCCAAGATTTAGCTCTATTCTAAACTTTCTTATCTTTTTCATTGTTAACAGTGATCTATACCATAGAGTTTCAAAAAAGAGGTCTACCGCATGCTCATATACTTTTGTTCCTGAATAAAAACAATCGATCGCAAAGTGGTATAAATCTGGACAACATTATTTTAGCTGAGTTACCTGACCAAGAAACAGATCCAGAATACTTCAAAGTTGTTGAGGAATTTATGATGCATGGTCCTTGCGGGAAAGCACGGTTGACTTCTCCATGTATGGCGAATGGTAAATGTACTAAACACTTTCCAAAGAAGTTTGTTAATTTGTCAATTGTGGACGAGGATGATTATCCTATATATCACAGACGAGACAATGGCCAGTCTGTCATGCTTAATGGTATTCAGTTGGATAATAGGTACGTAGTACCACACAATAGACATTTGTTGCTAAAGTAAAGAGCTCATATTAACGTGGGATGGTGTAATCAGTCCCGTTCAATCAAGTATTTGTTCAAGTACGTCAACAAGGGCCATGACAGGGTAACAGCAGAGTTTTACAAAGCCAACTGCGATGCAGAATGTCCAAAAGTTATTGATGAAATCAGTATGTTCTATGATTTTTGGTACATCTCTCCGTGTGAAGCATCTTGGCGATTATTTGGATTTGATATACAGTTAAGGACACCAGCTGTTGAGCGATTAAGCTTTCACTTGCCAAATCAACAAAGTGGCGTATTTGCAGATGATGATCCAGTTGATAACATACTAAGCCGTCCAACAATCTTACAAAGCATGTTATTAGAATGGTTTGAGGCAAATAAAACCTACCCAGCAGCAAGACAACTAACATATACCGAAATGCCAACTAAATTTGTATGGAAGAAAGATGTTAGGAAATGGCAACCAAGGAAAAGAGGATTTGCAATAGGTAGAGTTTTCTATGTGCCACCTGGTATAGTAGAGATATTTTATTTGAGATGTCTTTTGAATAAAGTAAAAGGGCCCACAGGTTTTTTGGACATAAAAAAAAAGTAGACGGTGTGCAATATGAATCTTTCAGGGATGCGTGTTCTGCAAGAGGATTAGTAGACGACGACAGGGAATATGTTCATGCTATAGAAGAAGCAAGTCAATGGGCGACAGGTGTAAATTTGAGAAGATTGTTTGTCACCCTATTAATGTCAAACTCAATGGGAAAACCAGAAGTTGTGTGGGAAGCTGCCTGGCACTATTTGGCTAAGGATGCACAATTCAAGATTAGTGCTCAATTGAGGATTACAGGTAATATTTTGTTTCTGTACTTTCATGTTGTACAAATTATTTGTATACACATAGTTATAATATGCGATTGATAATACTATCACAGATTTGATTTTATCTGAAGATGAGAAAAAGAATTTTGCACTTCATGAGATACAAATAATGCTTTCTGCTATGGGAAAGAGTTTGAAAGACTTTCCGTTGATGCCAGTACCGGATTTAGAGAATCATGCTAGAACCACCAATCGGTTGATACAAGAGGAATTAGCATATGATATTAATGTCATGATGGAATAGAATGATAAATTGGTGCATCAACTCACCGAAGAACAAAGGGATATATATGGAGAAGTATTGCAAGATGCTGAGAATAATCTGGGAGGCCTGTTTTTTGTTTATGGATACGTTGGAACGGGAAAAACATTCTTATGGAGAGCATTGTCTTCTGCTTTAAGGTCAAAGGGTGATATAGTTTTAAACGTGGCATCAAGTGGCATAGCATCTCTTCTACTACCAGGAGGTAGAACTGCGCATTCAAGATTTTCAATACCAATAGCTGTTAATGAAGATTCAACCTGCAACATCAGTCAAAGTAGTCCTTTGGCACAGTTGATAATGCAAAGTAAGTTGATCATTTGGGATGAGGCACCGATGATGCATAAGTTTTGCTTTGAAGCTTTAGACTGTACTATGAGAGATATCATGCGTGCTAAAAATCCAAAAAGCTTGGATATGACTTTTGGTGGGAAAACCGTGGTGTTAGGTGGAGATTTCAGACAGATTCTACCAGTCATTCCAAAGGGCACCAGGCAAGAATTGTTGGAGCAAGTATAAATGCATCATATCTTTGGAGAAGCTGTAAAGTATTTAGGCTAACAAAGAATCTCAGGCTTAGGTCATTACAATCAGATACTGAAGTTAAAGAGATTGAAAAATTTGCAAAGTGGATTGCTAATATAGGTGATGGAACAATTGGTGATTGTTTGCATGGAGAATGTGAGATAAATATTCCTGAAGAATTTGTGCTAATTTGTGTTGAGGATCCAATTTCTACAATTGTTGATAGCATATTCCCTATGTTCTGCAGTGGTTAGAGTGATATTCAATACCTAAAAGATCGTGCTATTTTGGCACCAACTTTGGATATTGTGGATGCAGTAAATGAATACATGAATGACTATAATAATGCCGAAGGAAGGACGTATCTCAGTTGTGATTCGGTTTGTAAATCTGATTCAAATGTTGACATGCTTGCTGATCTGCACACTGCAGAATTTTTAAATGGTTTAAGGTGTTCAGGAGTTCCAAATCACTCATTGACTCTAAAAGTTAGCTCACCAGTTATGCTTCTAAGGAATATTGATCATTCATTGGGGTTGTGCAATAGTACAAGAATGATCATTTCAAAGTTGGCAGATCATGTTTTAGAAGCTCAAATACTATGCGGGGCAAGTGCCGGTACAAAGGTCTTAATTCCAATGATGTCCTTAACACCTTCTGATGCAAGATTGCCTTTTAAGTTCCAAAGGAAGCAATTTCCACTAATGTTGTCATATGCAATGATAATAAATAAAAGCCAAGGCCAGACACTATCCAACGTGGGTTTGTTTTTGAAGAGACCGGTTTTTAATCATGGTCAAATGTATGTAGCAGTGTCAAGAGTTAGTAATCCTAAGGGATTAAAAATTCTTATTTGGGATGAAACTGTAAAATCTAAAAATACGACTACAAATGTCGTATACAAAGAAGTATTCAATAATGTATAAAAAAATTTCATTTAGTTCACTATCCAATTATTTTTTTTTTGATAATTATGTATACATATTGTCGTGCACCGCACGGGTGCAACTACTAGTAATATAATATAACCATAATTAAATATTCTTGTATTCTATATTCTTCTAGGATTTCTATTACCATCATTAATTATTCCATAGTTTAGCATAATTAAATAAGTTGACCAATACAATGAGTTTGGGCGGGGAAATGCTAGAAAGAGGATTTTACTTCATTGGTCAATTTTTCAATCCACTCAAACTAAGTAAAGTCAAATTATATCATGGACCAGGATTTACATTGTATTGTGGACCCTAATATAAAACAACATTTAATTTATATATATATGGTTAACATATTATATACATTCAGTTAATAGATTATTGCATCATTGAACTCTGATGCAAGATTGCCTTTTAAGTTCCAAAGGAAGCAATTTCCACTAATGTTGTCATATGCAATGATAATAAATAAAAGCCAAGGCCAGACACTATCCAACGTGGGTTTGTTTTTGAAGAGACCGGTTTTTAATCATGGTCAAATGTATGTAGCAGTGTCAAGTAGTGCTGTCAATACGGCTGGCGGGGTGGGGCAGGCCGCGGGCCTAAACGGGGCGGGCTAAAAAAGCCCGCTCCTAAACGGGCCTGAGTTTGATAGGCCCGGACCGCCCCGCCAGTGGCCCGCGGGCCCCCGCCGAATCCCCTTTTAAAAAAAAAAATTGTTCATCAAACATCTAACTAATTATAATAAATTGATACATAAGTCATAACTCACATAAAACATAATAATCAAACATTAAATATTACATAAAGTTCAAAGTTCATAGTTTATCAAACATCAAACTAATCACAACTACAAAGTCCAAAAATATTACACATAACAATAATTTTAAAGTGCATATTTTATATAAAAATATTTTATATAAAATAAAATATAATAATGGCGAGCAACCCGCGGGCCCGGCGGGGCGGGCCTAGCGGGCCACGGGCCTAAGCGGGGCGGGCCAAAAAAGTCCGCTCCTAAACAGTCCTCTATTTTCAAAACCCGCCCCCTACCTAAGTAGGGGCGGGGCGGGCCGGCCCGGCGGGCTAAGCCCGTTTTGACGGCTCTAGTGTCAAGAGTTAGTAATCCTAAGGGATTAAAAATTCTTATTTGGGATGAAACTGTAAAATCTAAAAATACGACTACAAATGTCGTATACAAAGAAGTATTCAATAATGTATAAAAAAATTTCATTTAGTTCACTATCCAATTATTTTTTTTTTATAATTATGTATACATATTGTCGTGCACCGCACGGGTGCAACTACAAGTAATATAATATAACCATAATTAAATATTCTTGTATTCTATATTCTTCTAGGATTTCTATTACCATCATTAATTATTCCATAGTTTAGCATAATTAAATAAGTTGACCAATACAATGAGTTTGGGCGGAAAATGCTAGAAAGAGGATTTTACTTCATTGGTCAATTTTTCAATCCACTCAAACTAAGTAAAGTCAAATTATATCATGGACCAGGATTTACATTGTATTGTGGACCCTAATATAAAACAACATTTAATTTATATACATATGGTTAACATATTATATACATTCAGTTAATAGATTATTGCATCATTGAACTCTGGTGCCCATTTTGTTGGAGGAAACAACTGTTGGAATTGTATCATTTAACAACAGGATGTATCAATACTAGCTGGTTTGCCCGAGAGGTTAAGGGGGAAGACTTAAGATCTTCTGCACATAAGTGCGCATGGGTTCGAACCCCATAGCTAGCATGTTTATTTTGTAGCAAACGGATCGAGTCGGACTGACCCAAACAAGTCGGGTCAAGTCTGCCCATTGTAGCAATGGATCGAATCGGATCAAGACCGGTCCAAACAAGTCAGGTCATGACTGAACTTTCTGTAGTATAAAACGGACTAACTCTAATTCGCCTATTGTAGCAAATAGACCGTACCGAATCGGATCGGCCCAAACAAACAAATTGGGCCTGCATTGAACTTTTAACTAACATGGACAAGAGCACCTCACGCCTGCTGCGGCCGAGACCTTCATTGCATTACTCTTCTCGACACATCCACAAAGCTTTCATAGTCATACCCGAACCAACCTTTCATATACATGTGGTTAACATATTATGTACATTTAGTTAAAAGATTATGTACTTATATAAATAAATTGCAGGTACATAATATTTTAATTGCATGTGCATAATATGTTAATTGTAGTAGTTATAATAGGTACATAATTAATTCATTGCATATACATAATATGCTAAATGTATATACATAATATATTAATTGTAGTAGGTACATAATTTATTAACTAAATGTAGATAATATGTTAACTACAAGTATATCATTTGAATGTCGTTTTGAACCAAAGTCTACAATGGAAGGTAGATCATGGCCCATGATATAACAATTGCACTCAAGGATGGCCCTAGCCATGTGTGACTAGGGCAACGACACATGCTCCAATTTTTAGGGGCTCAATTTTTTTTTTTTTTTAATAAATTGGACTCCCCCTCAAGCACAAGGTACAGTAGTGACTTGTAGCTTGTCTTAAAGAAAAGAAAGTTTAGGGCCAAGTAGAGCTTTAGTAAATATATCTGCCAGTTGATCCTTAGTCAAAATAAAATTAACATGTATATCTCCATTTGCAACTCTGTCTCTAACAAATTGATAATCAATTTCTACATGCTTAGTCCGAGCATGAAAAATAGGATTTGCACACATGTATGTAGAACCAAGATTATCACACCACAACTTGGGAGTAGACATACCTGTCACGCCAACTTCACGCAGTAGAGAGAGAATCCAAATTACCTAAGCACAGACATCTGCTAGAGTTTTATATTCAGCCTCACTAGATGATCTAGCAACAGTTCTTTGTTTCTTACATACCCATGATATAAGATTGGTACCAAGAAAAACAACATAACCACTAGTTGATTTACGATCGTCAGGACAGCCAGCCCAATCAGAACCAAAAAAATTGTTAATTGCCATAATAATTATGGAAAATGACCTTGTTTGATTATTGAAAAATTCTTAAAAATTTTAACAAATTCTCCATTTTAACATTTTTTCTTTAATCAAAACAACAAAAATAAACTCAGCAATTTGCTCCGAACAGCTAAAAACTAAAACAACACACATACATTTTGAGTTAATATTTCCCAAACACCCCTAATAAATAAGTTTTTTCTTAAAAAAAAAAACTAAAATAAAAAGTTATTAAACTAAGACTTCTTAAATAAGAATCTTTTGGCTTCTCAATACGTGTCCATATTAATGGGCAAGCAATTATGTTTGAAAGGGGAGCATTGTTCCTCTTAGGGGTGGGCGTTTCGGGTTTCGATTCGGTTTTTTCCGGTTTCGATTTTGGCTTCGGTTTTTCGGTTTTAAAAAAGTTAAACCATTCGGTTTAACATTAAGGTTCGGTTCGGCTTAGGTTCGGTTTGAAACGGTTCGGTTTCGGTTCGATTTAAGATCCCCAAATTTCAACATTTCCTAATTTTTCGAACATACTACCAAACAATACATATTCACATAATCCAAATTCAAACTCTAAACATTATATAACAAAATAGCAATCCAAAGTTCAAACACAATGCTAAGTACTAATTACCAAACATCAGTTAACGTTTTTGCACAACCGACTCTTCAGTTGGAATATTTTTATTGATAAGATGAATAATCATCTATCTGTATAGTTGATATTAAAAGAACAAATGTCAATTACTATATAGTTAATTTTTGGACACAATCTGTCATTGCTAGTGCACTCGAAATATATTCCAGTACTAGAAAATAATTATAGTGCACTGTAAATCAAAATTAGAATGACTGTAAAGCACATTAAATTTATAGAAAAACATGAAACTAAGAAAAATACTGAATATTGTAAATATAACTCAAGTTAGATATAATTGTGAGGTAAAGAACAATTGCGACAAACAACAAAAGTGCAATGTAAAAAACAAGCTATAAAGAAATCAAATAAAAAATTTAAGGTTCGGTACCAGTAAGAATGAGAACTGAACGGTGGAGCAAGCATCAAGGAACTTGAATTTACTTCTTTATTATTATTATTATTATTATTATTATTATTATTATTATTATTATTATTATTATTATTATTATTATTATTATTATTATTATTATTATTATTATATTATTATTATTATTATTATTATTTATTAAAAAAATTATATAGCATTCGGTTAGGTACTAAACCATTCGGGTTTCAAAATCACGAACCGTTTAGTTTTCTATTACTAGTTCGGTTTAGTTCGGTTCGGTTTGGATAAACCGAACCGAAGTGCCCACCCCTAGTTCCTCTTATATAGAGGAGCTCAAGAACTCATCTTTCCAAACATTTTTTATGTGGGATCAAACATCATTTCCAAAGACGGGTTCCCCTTTGTCTCTCTTTTTTTTTTTTTTTTAGTTTATGTTTTTAAATTTTAATTTCATTTTGTATATAATTTTGTTTTAATTATTATTATATGAATAATATTATTATTGTAATTCTATTTTATTATTACATAATGACATAATAATAATAATAATAATAATAATAATAATAATAATAATAATAATAATAATAATAATAATAATAATAATAATAATAATAATAATAATAATATAAATTTTCTTTTAGTATATAATGACGGTGAGCACAATAATAATATAACCATAACTAAATATTCTTGTATTATATTCCGTGAGGCACAGTAATATAATATAACCATGATTAAATATTCTTGTATTCTATATTCTTCTAGGATTTCTATTACCATCATTAATTATTTCATAGTTTAGCATAATTAAATAAGTTGACCAATACAATGAGTTTGGGCGGGAAAATGCTAGAAGGAGGATTTTACTTTTAATTATACTAGTATTTACACTCGTGCGATGCACGGAATGAATTTGTTGTAATATATTAAGAATATATGAATCGATATATAAT